TGTTTAGCAGAATCTTGCCCTCCTCCACCTAGGAGACACCAGTAACTACCCGCCTTCTTCCTGCTGAGAATCACTGATTTAAGATATGCAGATTAAGAGGACTTCCCTGGCCCCCTAGTGGTTAAGACTCCCACAGGGGACACGGATTTGATCCCTGGTCTGGGAACTAAAACATTCCACGTGCCTTGAAATGCAGCAACCCCCCCCCCCCCCCGCAAAAAAAAAAAAAGTGCAAATTGAGGCAAACTTAACTTAGAAAGTGGAGGTGGTTGGTATGTAGAAATCCTGTGTGTGTGTGTGTGTGTTTGTGTGTGTGTGTGTGTGTGTGTGAATGAAAATGGCTGGAGTTTGAGAGATTGTTTGGCAAATTGCCTTCAGTTGGGGGTCTGCTTACTGATGTTCCTGTGGCTGAGGTCTGGTCCACAGTCAGGTGGGAGGAGGGGCCTTGCCAGAAGCTGTAAAGCCGCTCGGTCCAGGGGAAGCTCTGTCGTGCTGGAATGTTCTCCGTCTGCACCGTCCAGCACATGCCACTGGCCACCTGTGACTGCGGAACACTCAGAATGTGGCTACTGAGAAGGAGGAACTCAACTCTTATTTTAAGTAACTTCAATGTAAAACTTCCATGTTTGCACAGCGCAGCCCCGAAGAAATCAGCGTGGAGAGGTCAGGATGATAAGACCACAGGCTTTAAAAACTTAGAAGTGAAGATACACAAACCAGTAAAAATGAATCTTTACGGACGGTCCAGTCACGTGGCAGACAGGACTGTTAGGAGATTTGGGGCGGAGGTTAATACACCCACTTAACATTGGCTTTGCCGACTGTGTGTCCGACTCTTTGCAGCCCCGTGGACTGCAGCCCGCCTGGTTTCTCTGTCCATGAGATTCTCCAGGCAAGAATACTGGAGCGGGTTGCCATTTCCTTCTCCAGGGGATCTTCCCGACCCAGGGATTGAACCTACATCTTCTGCATTGGCAGGCAGGTTCTTTACCACTGAACTACCTGGGAAGCCCGACATTGGCTTTAGCAAAGTGAAATAAAAACAAAAACCAATTTACTGATGCCTGAGACTTGGGCTTCCCAGGTGGTGCTAGTGGTTAAAGAACTCGCCTGCCAATGCAGGAAACATAAGGGACCTGGGTTCTATCCCTGGGTGGGGACGATCCCCTGGAGGAGGAGTGCGTGGCACCCACTCCAGTATTCTTGGCTGGAGAATCCCATGGACAGAGGAGTCTGAGAGGCTAGAGTCCGTGGGGGTCCCAGAGCCAGACACGACTGAAGTCACATAGCGCGCACGGAAGACAGGAGAAGCCCAGGAGACCTACGCTCTGCCCCCGGCTGCTCAGAGCCTCTGGGGTCTCTGCATCTTCCTTGCGACTCCATTTTTCAGGCTGACTCTCCCTAAACGGGAGCAAGGCGGCTGGCTGCCTGCAACTCCAGGCCTCTTTTCTGCCACCTAAACAACCGCAGGGTGAAGGGGACGTCTTTTCTGGAATTTCTAGCGAAACCCCCAGGCAGGCCTCTCATCGGCTCCTCCCCTGAGCCCATCAGCTTGTCGAGGGCCTTGCTTGGCCAAGCCTGGGTCCCGGGCTCCTCATACCTGGAGCTCAGAGGTGGGGTCGGCATCCGCTGGATCAGGTGGAGAGATGGAGGGAAACTGACTGACAGAATTGTGATGAAGGAGTAAGTGCAGGATACGAGAAGACGATATGGGGGCCTCGGCTGAGGGACTGAACTCGGCCGGAGCCCGCAGCGCCCCTGGTGGACGCCGGCAGAAGCGCCCCCAGACAAACCTGGTGGGAGAGAATCCCGGCGCTGGCGTGGAGGGGCCGGGGCCTGGGGTGTCCACCGGAGGGCCCTGGGAAGGTGACCCCGGGGCCACAGCGGGGCTTTAAGGGCCCGAGGGATGGCAGGGTCCGGGCGCGTGGCCGACTCACACGCAGATGCTGCCCACCTGCCCCATTGGCCGCGGCCTGGGAAGCTGGGGGGTGGCGGGTGGGGGCCACCTTCTCCTCCAGGGGCGTGTCTCCAGCGCCCGCGCCTGAGGAAGCTTCGCATGTCACTGCGCTGAAGGAGTCAGTCCACCCCGCCAGCAGGCCCCGAAAGGGTGACTGGGTGACTGGGGAGCTTGATGTGAGAATTCACGGCGTGGCTCGGGCAGGGCAGCGAATATGCAGGCGGAAGGGCTTCGGTCTGGGGCTCGCTGCCCTGACCTCAGTGACACAAAGGCCTTATTTTATCTCGTGCCAAGTGCTTGCCTGCTTTTGTATTTGTGAGGCAAAGGATCTTGTTCCAAAGTTAGGTACCCCCAACCCCACCCAGGACCTGGAATCATGGTTGGACCAGGTGAGCACTTAATAAATTATTAAGTGCTTACTGTTATGGATTTAGCTGAAAACGCACACACACATACACACATAGACGCACATTTAGCCCCATACGTAGGTAATATGGGCACATTTAGCCCCACACACAGGTAATGCTGCTGCTGCTGAGTCGCTTCAGTCGTGTCCGACTCTGTGCGACCCCATAGACGGCAGCCCACCAGGCTCCCCTGTCCCTGGGATTCTCCAGGCAAGAACACCAGAGTGGGTTGCCATTTCCTTCTCCAATGCAAGAAAGTGAAAGTGAAGTCGCTCAGTCCTGCCCGACTCCTAGCGACCCCATGGATTGCAGCCTACCAGGCTCCCCTGTCCCTGGGATTTTCCAGGCAAGAGCACCAGAGTGGGTTGCCATTGCCTTCTCTGACACATAGGTAATATGCGCACATTTAACTTTATACATAGGTAATATGTGTCCAGTGTGGCCAGAGAATACATAGGAAAAGGCCCCCCAGCCCCTCCTTCCAAAGGAACCCACGTTATCAGCTCATTATGGAAGTTTTCTGCACTTTCAAGCACGTCTGCATGTTATCCTCTTGCCTTCGTGCAAAGAATGGTGTCCTGGACACCTTTCAGCCGTTTCCATTTAACATATCTTGCAAATAGGACCATTTAGCACATGCAACTCTGTCTCCTCCATTAAAGACTGTTGAGCATCCCCTTGTATGAACGTTTCCTGCTTGTTTGACCAGCACCCACTTTTTTCCTTTAATATTTTTTTGGCTTCACAAGACAGCATGTGGGGTCTTAGTTCCCTGACCAGGGATTGAACCCGTACCCCTTGCATTGGAAGCGCGGAGTCTAAACCACCGGACCGCCGGGGAAGTGCTGACCAGCCCCCGCCCGCCCCCAGACCCGTGACCGATTCAGTTCGTTTCCGGTCTTCGCCGCCTCACGCAGGTTGCCCTGTGAGACCTGCCCCTGTGCACGCGCACGCCTGCAGGTTCCGTCTCGGAGAGATTAACCTTGTAGCTGGCTGTGGGGAACCTTCTGCTAGCAGAGAGCAAACAGAACTCATTTAAACAGTCAGCCTGACAGTCTGTGGTTCTCTTCAGCTTTCATTAGAAACATTCCGCTCCGGGAGTCACCATTAGAGGATTATCACAGGATAGGGAGAGAATTGCTGGTCCGTGGCAGAGTGGAAGACCACGAGGAAGGTGTCTGCAAACGGACGGGTGTGATTCTGCTCAGTGCATCCCCCTCCCCGTCCGTTCGGCCCTTTGCCCCATGCTGGCCCGCCTGGGTGATTCGCACCTAAGCGCAGGAGCGCGGTTCGACTCTTCCTGGTTGCCCCGTTTCTCTGGCCGACATGAATGAGTTACTTAGAAGTGAAACCTGTCCTCATGGGAGCCACCACCAGCCTCCCTGCCCCACCCCCAGCACCGGTTTACTGGAACCAGGATGCTATTTTTAAGAAAGAGCATCGTGTTTCATCATGGAAATTTTGAGCATCTGAGCAGGCTTGCTGGCTTGCCGGAGTCTTTAAGAGTCCTGAGCCCACAGCCTGTATGTGCTCAGCTCTGTACCCAGCGCCTCAGCAGGACATGCCTGGCCTGAAAGAGGAGGGACAGAAGGCGGGTCTGTCGCTGACAAGTAATTATGTAAGTCGTGATGGCCACATCGGGATGGTTTGCCTTCAGCTGGCAGTGTCTCAAGGGTCTGGCAGGGCTGGGCTTCCTCCCTCCCAGCAGGTGCGTGTGCTGGGGCCCAGGGAGGAGCATTCCGCCTGCGGTCTTTCTACCACAAGGGGCTGATGAGGGTCGTAATTCTCAAGACGCCTTGTTTACAGGCTCTCTTGAAGGATGCGGCGCCTTTTTTTTGGCGAGAATTGGGGTTGAGGATGTGTGTCTCAGAGCAGCCTGATTTCATCAGAGCCGGGCAGGTGCCCAGGTGCCCCTGGCCTCACACAGGGCACCTGAGGAGCTGCCGTCTGGGGGCAGCCCTTGGGGTCAGCTTGCCTACAGCTGGCACGCTGGCCCATCTCCGGGTTATGTGGGGCTCCAAGTCATCATCTTCCTGGCGTGCCCCTCCAATGTGTTGCTAAAAAGGAGAGATGGGCGTGGAAGGAGATTCTTTTCCTTCTCTTCATTTATAGTAATCTTGGTGTAACCAGCACCCTTGATAGCTTTGAGAATAAGACAGACCTGCTTCAAGGCCAGACTCAGCCGTTTCTCACATTTTGGCAAACTCAGGGGGACCTTTTTCAGCTATCCTGAGCTTTCCTCTCTCATCTGCAACATATCAAAGTGATAAAACTTCTGTTGTTATGTATTTACTTCCTAAATCTAAAAAAAAAACAAACAGACCCTGCTTTTTTAATTAATTTGGGCTTGGGGACAAAGCATCTTTTTTTTTTTTGTGACAAAGCATCTTTGATTTGGACCACGGCTGTCTTCTTAGATGCATCAGCTCTGTTTTCGCTGCTCACTAAAGGATGAAGCCCCAGATGGGACTGCGGTTCTGACCCAGTGAAGATGCTTTAGAGAGAGAAGTTCTGGGAGGGCGTGGCCTTGACAGCTTGGGTGTGACCTTGACGGTGTGGGCGTGGCCGTGATGGCATGGGTGTGGCCTTGATGGCGAGGGCGTGGCCTTGACGGTGTGGGTGTGTCTTTCCCACAGGTGCGGCGAGTGGCTGCGATGCTGTGGTGGAGGCGAGCCCAGGCCGCGCACAGTCTGGTTGGGGCGCCCGGAGAAGAGGGACCAGCGGTACCCTCGAAATGTCATCAACAATCAGAAATACAACTTCTTCACCTTTCTGCCTGGGGTACGTACGGGCCGGGGCAACATGGTTTTTTCCTTCTTACACCGCGTGTGTGCAGTGGTGTCAGTCTTGGCAGACCGAGGCTCCTGCCGCAGGGTCTGTGAGCACCCCGTGCCTTTCCCACTCACCCCGGCCGTTCGCCTCCCTTAGTCCCGAGCACCTGGAAGGGGTTGCCTTCGGTCTGCAAGGCTGTGAGACGCCACCTGATCGGCTGCAATAACTTCACGTTTATTTGGTGTGTTTGGCCTAAGAGGAGTGAAAAAAGACATTTTGAGGGCCTAGCTTTGTTACACAAAAAGAAATCAGTGCCTATATTTCCCCCCATTACCATCTTGGAACACATATTCAGAATAGAAAAGTTGGGAGCTAAAAGTGTAGAGAAATTTTTTTGTTTAAATTTGTCTCTTTCCTCTGGCTGTATTGTCTTCGTTGCAGCCCGTGGAGTCTTTTGCTGAGGCCTGCAGGCTCAGCAGTTGAGGCACATGGGTTTACTTGCCCCACAGCATGGGGGTTCTTAGTTCCCCGACCAGGGATTGAACCTGCATCCTCTGCATTGTGAGGTGGATTCTTTTTTTAAATTTTTTAAAATATTTATTTATTTGGCTCTCCTGAGTGTGAGTTGTGACATGTGGGATCTAGCTCCCGGACCAGGGATCAAACCTGGGCACCCCTGCATTGGGAGCTCGGGTCTTAGCCACTGAACCAGCAGGGAGTCCTGGGAGGTGGATTCTTAACCACTGGACCGCCAGGAAAGTTCCAAGAAATCTTTTTAAGATAGATTTTAATACTTCTATCCAGAGAGACTTTCTATTAACATATTTGCTAATGTTTATTTTGCTTAGTAGTATATTGTCCTGCAATTGTCTGTTTTGTTCGTTAATTTATACAGATCAACAGACAAGCCTTCTGAAAACCTCCCCCCCAGCACACCCTTAAGTTAAATATTGATTTTTATCCATTGTGGCCTCCAAAACTACACCAGCTGGCTGTAGAAGCAGCAGCAACAATCAGTTTCAAAGCTGAAAGAAAAAAAAAGTCACTGATTTACTGAGCGAGAACGTGAAAACAGATACCTTATACCGTAGCGTAAGGTCAGCCTGAATTTCTTTTTAATAATTGATTTATTTTTGGCTGTGCTGGGTCTTCGCTGATGCCTGCAGGCTTTTCTCTAGTTGCAGCACACAGGGGTTGCTTTCTAGTTGCAGCACGGAGGCTTCTCTTGTCGTGGGGCGCAAGCTTGGTGGTTGCGGCTCGCTGGCCATGGGGCCCAGGCTCGGTAGTCGTGGCTCACGGGCTTAGTTGCTCTGTGGCATCTGTAATCTTCCCAGACCAGGGACCAAACCCGTGTCTCCTGCATTGGCAGGCAGATGCTTTACCACTGAGCTCCGAGGGAACCCCCTGAATGTTTCTTTAAGGGTGATTTTTGGCTGCGTTTATTGCTACCTGGTTCACCTCCCTCCCCTGGCCCCCGAAATCTCAGTATCTAAGGTCAAGTGCAAGTTAATTTCTCATTCGTGGAAACTCTGAAGCACGTCAAGCAACTCTCGCGCATCTCACAGCTACACCACCCGGGGTGTGTGGGACATCCACGTCCCCATGGCAGGGCAGGAGCTGGGGCTGGAAGTGCCCTGAGCAGGCAGGGCGTCTCCGCTCGTTGCCTGCTGGCCAGATGAGTCAGGGCATCGGTGACACTCCCAGGGCACGTGGGGCCAGTGAAACTGCCAGAACTCTCCTGCCACATGGGATGAAATTCTGCTGTAGTTACTGTCTGGTGTTGAAATCATACCACTGAGATCAATGTGTCTCTCTCTTGATTCAATCTTACAACCTAAGCCTTTCCCACCAAACCCTCTTTAGCGGCATTCGGAGTGGCCTTTCCTGCACTTGCAAAAGAAATAAAACCTAACAGCTATTGTCAGGGACCCCACACCCAGAAGTCCCCACTGTCTTGAATTTGGTGTTTAGAATTCCCACGGGTATCATTTGTGTTTTTACTTTGACCCATGGTGTTTTCATCACCCGGGTGAGTTTTCCTAAACAACAGGTGGCAGAGTGCCAAGTGTACGGTGCAGGTACCACGTGAGTTGTGTTCCGGGGGAGTGTTTGAGAGGTCACGCGTCTGCCTCGCTCCGAATCCACCAGCCTCGAGTGTCTCCTGTCTCCACTGCAGGTGCTGTTTAATCAGTTCAAATACTTCTTCAACCTCTACTTCCTGCTTCTCGCCTGCTCCCAGTTCGTCCCCGAGATGCGACTCGGCGCGCTCTACACCTACTGGGTTCCCCTGGTGAGTCAGTTGGGGTGTCCTTTCGGGAGGATCCGAGGTTGGGCAGCCGAAAGGTCTCTGTCCTTTGGGCAGCTGGAACAGAACGTGGCCTCTCAGAGGGAGAGGACACCCCCAGGCCAACACGTTGGGAGCCCCCGAGGTTTTCCTGGTGACGCTCTGTTCTGCCCACCGCTGCGGTGCCTGGCTCCTCCTTCCTTCCGTCTGTCTGTTGTCGAGTCTCTCCTTGTTTCACAAGCCTTTCCCGCCTGCTCACCGCGGATTGCCAGGTACTGGGCCCTGGCACACAGTGGTCCCGAGAAAGGCAGGGCCTCCGCGGTGGCTTCTGCTCTTTGATTTGTTTTCTGTTTATGATGTAGGCAGTGTCAGCGTCAGGGGCTGACCAAGCAGCCGATTCTGTGCTTCAGTGATTGTGTATGGAGTGTGACTGACCCGAAGCTGGTAAATAAATACATGGAGGTCTGCAAGGTTCTTCACCAAAGCTAGTAGTTTTCTTTGGAACAGGGGTGAAAGTGTTCGTCGCTCACTCTCTCTGCGATCCCATGGACTGTAGCCCACCAGACTTTTCTGTCCATGGGATTCTCCAGGCAAGAATAGTGGAATGGGTGGCCATTCCCTTCTCCAGGGGATCTTCCCGGCCCAGGGATCAAATCTGGGTCTCCTGCATTGCAGGGGGATTCTTTACTTCTGAGCCACTAAGGAAGTCCTTGGAGAGGGGGTGGTGTGGCCTTTTATGAAGTACAGTCTGTGTGATACTGAGTTTTCAGTTCCCTGTGTGTTGCCAGCACCCGTGGTCAGCACAGGGCATTCTCACCAGCCCAGAAAGTTCTCTTTCCCCCTCTCCAGTCAGCCTGCCTCCCCAAGTAGAAGTAGCTGCTTTTCTGAGTTCTCTCAGGAGTTTTGCTTTAGTAGATCTTTTTTTTTTTTGACTGTACCATGCAGCTTATGGGATCTTAGTTCCCCAACCAGAGCTCTAACCTGGGCCCTCAGCAGTGGAAGCGTGGAGGCCTAATTCTGGACCGACCCCCAGGGAATTCCCAGTAAATCTGTTCTTGATGCACAGCTTTACAGAAGAGTCTTAGCGCCTTCAGGATTTTGTCTGCTCACTGCCACCACCTCTGATTTCCTTACAGGTTTAGGCGACCCTCCACTGCCTGCTTCAAGCTTCTTTCTAGGTGTCTTTGGCTCTTCAGTCAGTTCAGTCGCTCAGTCGTGTCCGCCTCTTTGTGACCCCGTGGACTGCAGCACAGCCAGGCTTCCCTGTCCATCGCCAACTCCTAGAGTTTTCTCAAACTCAGGTCCATTGAGTCAGTGATGCCATCCAGCCATCTCATCCTCTGTCATCCCTTTCTCCTCCTGACCTCAATCTTTCCCACCATCAGGGTCTTTTCCAGTGAGTCAACTCTTCGCATGAGGTGGCCAGAGTGCTGGAGTTTCAGCTTCAGCATCAGTCCTTCCAATGAACACCCAGGACTGATCTCCTTTAGGATGGACTGGTTGGATCTCCTTGCAGTCCAAGGGACTCTCAAGAGTCTTCTCCAACACCACAGTTCAAAAGCATCAATTCTTCGGCGCTCAGATTTCTTTATGGTCCAACTTTCATCCATACATGACCACTGGAAAAACCATAGCCTTGACTAGATGGACCTTTGCTGGCAAAGTAATGTCTCTGCTTTTTAATATGCTATCTAGGTTGGTCATACCTTTCCTTCCAAGGAGTAAGTGTCTTTTAATTTCATGGCTGCAGTCACCATCTGCAGTGATTTTGGAGCCCAGGAAAATAGTCTGTCACTGTCTCCACTGTCTCCCCGTCTGTTTGCCGTGAAGTGATTTGGCCCTTAGGACCTCCAAAGCTGGATGGTTGGAATTTATATCTGGACCACATTTGCATCACTTTGTAAAGCAGTTTCTAGCTTAAGAGATGGCAGGTCCCCTGGGATTGGTGAGGATTCTGTGTGTGTTGTGTATTGGGGTGGGGGGAGGTCATAGATACGGTAACTTGTGTTTGTGAGCCCCCTGACTCCTAAGGAATTTCACTCAGTAGAAAGTCACTTTCAGCTCTGGGTCCCAACTCCTGACTGTGTGCCTGTGTGCTAAGTTGCTCAGTCGTTGCCAACTTTTTACGACCCCTTGAACTGTAGCCCGCCAGGCTCCTCTGTCCATGGAATTCTCCAGGCAAGAATACTGGAGAGGGTTGCCATGCCCTCCTCCAGGGGATCTTCCCGACCCAGGGATCGAACCCGTGACTCTTGTGTCTCCAGCATTGGCAGGCAGGTTCTTCACCACTGTGCCACCTGGGAAGGCCAGGAGGACTCAGGAAGCAGCATTTACATGCAGCTGGGAGGTGAGCGCCTCCTGTGTTTGTGATAAGCACACACATCCCATTAACATCAGTGGGATTTAGCCAGACCCACGCAGAGAGAACTAGAAACGGCAACACTTGAAAAAACAAACAGCTGAAACCTGGATTCTGGCCCAGAATGAAACAGCAGTGTGTGTGTGGGGGGCGGGGGAGGGGGGGGCGGATTCTGCAAACCTGGGCCCTGCTTTTCCAGACCAGGTTTTCTCTCACCTCCCTATGTGGTCTGGTCATGCTTTCATTCTAAAATGTACCGGTTTTGCTTTGGCTTCAGTGTGTACTTTCCTTCTGATTGGAAACAGGAGAAATCCTTTGATGGCAAAGATGTGTGGGCTTTGGGAGGGGTTGCACAAAGCGGCTCATCGCTGGCTAGATTTACATAAGAGATTTAATGTCCTTTGAATCGAAGTTAATATATTGCATGAGGTAAACAGAATGAAAATGAAATCCTCAAAGAATTCATGACTGCTAACCTCAGGGGCAATTGTGCCCTCTGTATTTAAAAAAAATGACTTTAAAAAGAGAGATGACAAGGCTCTTTTGTAAGAAAAATGAATGGCTGCTCTTACTTTTATTGATACGAGAAGAAAAATCTAGACAAAAATGGATTCTTACCATGGGTGACAGACACCAGTCTGCACCAGGTTTTATGAGTGGGGATATCATATCTAACATGGGAAGGTGGGGTGGCTTAAAATTTTCCTTTTACTGATGGGTGCTTATGCAATTATTACTTTAACATGAGGATTCCCTTCGTGGTTCAGTCGTTAAGACTTTGCTTCCAGTGTAGGGGGTGCAGGTTTGTCCCTGCTACGAGGGCTAAGAGTCCACATACTTTGTGGCCAAGTAAGAAGTCCCCACCCTGTCCTGTCCTGTTCTTTACAGAGGAACCTAACCAATAGTTAAGGAGTGGGGGCTTCCCAAGTGGCACAGTGGTAAGAAATCTGCCTGCCAATGCAGGAGATGCAAGACATGTGGAATTGATCCCTGGGTCAGGAAGATCCCCTGGAGTAGGAAATGGCAACCCACTCCAGTATTCTTGCCTGGAAGATTCCATGGGCAGAGAAGCCAGGCAGGATATAGTCCCTGGGGTCCCAAGAGTCGGACATGATTGAGTTCACACACACACAAACCCAAATAGAGACCTTATATTAAAAAAAAAAAGGATATTGGCAAGTCTTTAGCAGCATATGGAACCTTTGTTGGTGTTTATCTGAACAGTGCTCTGTCTGGAAGGTTAATTTCCCTACCAGCGTCAATACAAACAGGCCTCGTGACTCATTTTGTGCCCTGGTGGCCCACCTGCTTGGTTCCACCCATCCAGGTTTCTGCAGGTGCAGAGCGCTGTGGCCTGAGAGCACGGACTCTGAACAGAAGCCCTGAATGATCGACCTGACGTCCTTGGTTTAGTTGCTAAGCTGTGTCCGGCTCTCTGAGGCCGCATGGACTGTAGTCTGCCAGGCTCCTCTCTCCGTGGCATTCTCTATGCAAGAATACTGGAGTGAATTGCATTTCCTTTTCCGGGGGATCTTCCCGACCCAGGGCTTGAACCCGGGTCTCCTGCATCGCAGGCGGATTCTTTACCGACTGAGCCACCAGGGGGGCCCATTTTATTTTCTTCACCTCTGTGTGTCTGCCTCTTCCCGGCTAGCATGGCCATCCCAGGGGTGAACCGCTCCAAGGTGGGGAACGTGCTTCCAATGGCATCCGGCACGTGGCGAGTGAGCTACAGACGTCAGGGGTGGCCCCCCCGGACGGTTCTGGGGCTTCTGTGTTTTTCACTCTTAGGAACCCTGTGGTGGGGGTGAGTGGGACGTCCTGGTACCCGTGGGGATTTCTCCAGGGTAGGAGAGTCAGAGGAGTGGGCCTGCTGGGGCTTGTGCGCGTGGAAAACCCGCCGCCCTGCTGCGTGGCTTCTGGTCTCTTCTGTCCCGGCCCCAGGGGAGGCTGGTGGCTTTCAGGCCGGCTCACCCTCTCTCTTTGTCTCTCTCTCCTGCAGGGCTTCGTGCTGGCCGTCACCATCATCCGCGAGGCGGTGGAGGAGATTCGATGCTATATGCGGGACAAGGAAGTGAACTCCCAGGTCTACAGCCGCCTCACGGCGAGAGGTCAGCCTCCAGCTGCCCAGCCCCAGGGCGGCGGGGGGCGGGGTGGGCACAGGGTCCCAACTTGGCCACGGGCTGCTGACAGTCAGGGAGCAGAGTTCACAGCCCGGGCCAGTGGGGTGTGGGCGGCCGGGGCGGGACAGTCGCTCAGTGGCCGACGTCAGGGAGGCCAGCGTGTGCCTCGGGCCTGGGGGTACTCCAGCCACATCCCTGGGCCATCACTGTGCCCCTGTGGCCTGTGCTGACGGCTGACCTGCGCCTTATCCGCCCGGAATTAACTGTGCGCTCGTGACATCCTCCGCATGCTCACCCAGTCCACCGCTGGCTGAGAAGGCAGCCCTTCTGTTGGTGTTTGGGCATGTGCGTGCTCAGGGTTGGTGTTTGGGCATGTGCGTGCTCAGGGTTGGTGTTTGGGCGTGTGTCTGACTCTCTGTGACCACATGGACTGTAGCCCACCGGTCTCCTCTGTCCATAGGATTCTCCAGACAAGAATACTGGAGAGGGTTGCAATTTCCTCCTTCTGGGGATCTTCCTGACCCAGGGATTGAATCCGTCTCCTGCATTGCAGGCAGATTCTCTGCCACTTGAGCTCTGTTGGTGTGGAGGCTGCAAACTCTGTCCTACACAGGTTTTCAAGGGAGCATAGCTCTAAAAGATATACTTTCACCCTTACAAAACTAATGTGACAACTTTGCAATGTTAGTTTTTTAAGAAGGCACCAGACTTACATACTAAATGTTGCAGCTGTGAAGGTTTCTTTGAAGGGATCTTATAAATTTTCAAAATGCAAGAATAAAGAGTGAATAATCTGACCCAAAGAGAATTGAGTAGGCAAACTTTCATTTGAATTTTTGAAATGGTGGAATTAAAAAAAACCCAGTCAAATACACCGTGGAGAACCCACGAAACAACCCAACTGGCATCGACTTTTATTTCTAAGTACACATTCTATGTTGATTTCCCATGAGAAATAAGAATGTTAACCTAAAGCTCCCAAGGATGATTGATCCTGTTCAGGGATTAATGTTTCAGGAGCAGCTGCAGGGAATAACAGCCATGCTTTGCCTCCAGGACATTGAGCATTCTGAGATGAGATCGATGCCTGAGGGAGCCTGCGCCCAGCTGGGGTGTCAACTGCTTTATGTTAAGGGCCTCAGTCTTCTGAAGAAGCAGCTCATCCATAGTTTCTGATCTGAGAATTGTCCTTCTAGGAAAAATTTTGGAGAAGTATATTTAAGGCTCCAAAATTTTTTTTTAGTATAGATGCATGATAGCATGCTTCCTATGTGGCTCAGTGGTAAAGAATCTGCCTGCCAGGTAGGAGACGCAGGTTCCATCCCTGGTTTGGGAAGAACCCCTGGAGAAGGAAATGGCAACCCACACCAGTATTCTTACCTGGGAAATCCCGTGGACAGAGGAGCCTGGCAGGCCACAGTCCAGGGGGTCCCAGAGAGACGGACAGACTGAGCGACTAAACAGCAACAGCATCAGGGCGTGAAAGTATTTGAGTAGATTTTCATAGTTGGTGGCCTCAAAAAGTTGCCAGTCTCTGGGAAAAGGGGGGATTTAGAGTTGGTATAGAAATGTTTTATTATTGCTAAACTATGTATATTTAGGGCTACCTAAAGAAAGAAACCCCAACATAATCTTTGCAAAGGCAGGTGGCTTGGGCTTTCCACGGAGGTAACCAGAAGACCCCTCTGCAAGGCGTTTTTCTGTGGTTCGTGTATATTAAATCCTCCCTTGATAACGGATTCTGACTGTAACATTTAAAATGCTCGGCAACCCACAGAAGCTCCACCAGAGAGGGTGCCAGTGGGTTTCTGCTGAGCTCAGGAGGGTCTGGGGACCCCATGCATCAGCCATCCAGGCTCCACACCTTCTTTGCTTCTTTTCATATTGTAATTGCTTTTCCGGTGAATGATTTTTTCTCTGCCCTCCCCTGCAGACCCCCTTTCTCAGCCCCTGCTTCAGCTTCCGTCAGTTCTTGAAAAGATCCTAAGGAGAACTGGCAGATGGCTCCAGCGTTAGAAGCTTGTCTTCCTCTGTGGGTCCCCTTCTGTGGCCCGTGTTTCCATCATCATGCCAATCCAACAGGAGGGGGACACGGAGCCGAGTTCTGAATGTCAACACAGACCCTGGCTCCACAGTTTGTGTCGAAAGCCCCAGAAAAGCAGTGAAGAAAACTGCCGGCTTGGAGAGTGAAAGCGGGGTGGGGGGTGTAGTTATTTGATACACTTTGGGGGGAAGGGCCAAGGTAAGAAGCTAAAATTGGAGGATTTCAGAGAGAAGAAGAGAAAGAAGCCTTTTTTGACCTTACCATTCAATCACTTAATATTTTCTGGAGTAAGGGTTTTCACCAGGATCTCCTTTTAGTAAGTTCAGAAGTGAAGGGAAACAGATACATGCATGTGTATCCATGCAGGACTATTTTGTGTTTTTATCACGTGGCATCTTAAAATGTACTTTTCAATACTATTTTTGGAACTCAAGAAAGTTTGGGAACCAAAACATCAAGTCCTGGATCATGAGACTGTAAGCAATAATATTTACCTACGTCCTACATCATTTCCTGGTTTATAATAGCAACACTTGTATTAATACTAATTTAGTTAAGTAATTGGGGAAAGAACGTGAAAGTCTTAGTCTCTCAGTCGTGTCTGACTCCTTGTGACCCCATGGACTGTAGCCCACCAGGCTCCTCTGTCCATGGGATTCTCCAGGCAAGAATCCTGGAGTGGGTTGCCATGCCCTCCTCCAGGGGATCTTCCTGATCCAAGGATGGAACCCGTGTCTCTTGCATTGCAGGCTGATTCTTTACCATCTGAACCACTGGGGAAGACCAAATAAGCGGGTAGGGGGGTGGTGATAATTGATGACTAGCAAAATAGTTGGAAAAATTATGTGGAAAACTCCTGTTTGCCTTCACCCAGGTTTATCAGTTTTTAACCTCTTGCTTTTTAATACCCTCGCCTCACCCTTTATAAGTTCTCTGAGAATTACGTTGCAGACATTCTTCTATTTTTTTTTTTTAATTCATTGTACTTTGGTTTTTTTTTTTTTTCCATTTATTTTTATTAGTTGGAGGCTAATTACTTTACAACATTGCAGTGGTTTTTGTCATACATTGAAATGAATTAGCCATGGATTTACATGTATTCCCCATCCCGGTCCCCCCTCCCACCTCCCTCTCCACCCAATCCCTCTGGGTCTTCCCAGTGCACCAGGCCCGAGCACTTGTCCCATGCATCCAACCTGGGCTGGTGATCTGTTTCACCCTAGATAATATACATGTTTCGATGCTGTTCTCTTGAAACATCCCACCCTCGCCTTCTCCCACAGAGTCCACAAGTCTGTTCTATACATCTGAGTCTCTTTTTCTGTTTTGCATATAGGGTTATTGTTACCATCTTTCTAAATTCCATATATATGTGTTAGTATACTGTAATGGTCTTTATCTTTCTGGCTTACTTCGCTCTGTATAATGGGCTCCAGTTTCATCCATCTCATTAGAACTGATTCAAATGAATTCTTTTTAATGGCTGAGTAATATTCCATGGTGTATATGTACCACAGCTTCCTCATCCATTCGTCTGCTGATGGGCATGTAGGTTGCTTCCATGTCCTGGCTATTATAAACAGTGCTGCGATGAACATTGGGGTGCATGTGTCTCTTTCAGATCTGGTTTCCTCGGTGTGTATGCCCAGAAGTGGGATTGGTGGGTCATATGGCAGTTCTATTTCCAGCTTTTTAAGAAATCTCCACACTGTTTTCCATAGTGGCTGTACTAATTTGCATTCCCACCAACAGTGTAAGAGGGTTCCTTTTCTCCACACCCTCTCCAGCATTTATTGCTTGTAGACTTTTGGATAGCAGCCATCCTGACTGGCGTGTAATGGTACCTCATTGTGGTTTTGATTTGCATTTCTCTGATAATGAGTGATCTTGAGCATCTTTTCATGTGTTTTTGTGCCATCTGTATGTCTTCCTTGGAGAAATGTCTGTTTAGTTCTTTGGCCCATTTTTTGATTGGGTCATTTATTTTTCTGGAGTTGAGCTGGAGGAGTTGCTTGTATATTTTTGAGATTAATCCTTTGTCTGTTGCTTCGTTTGCTATTATTTTCTCCCAATCTGAGAGCTGTCTTTTCACCTTGCTTATAGTTTCCTTTGTTGTGCAAAAGCTTTTAAGTTTCATTAGGTCCCATTTGTTTATTTTTGCTTTTGTTTCTAGAATTCTGGGAGGTAGGTCATAGAGGATCCTGCTGTGATTTATGTCAAGAGTGTTTTGCCTATGTTCTCCTCTAGGAGTTTTATAGTTAACCCTTAATGCTGCTGCTCAGTCACTGAGTCATGTTCAGCTCTTTCCCACCCCGTGGACTGTAGCTATAGATTTTCCAGGCAGGAAGATAAGAGTGGGTTGCCATTTCCTTTTCCAGGTAACCCCTAAATGTGTGTGTGTGTTAGTCATTAAGTTGTGTCTGACTCTTTGTGATCTCATGGGCTGTAGCCCACGAGGCTCCTCTGTCCATGGGATTCTCCAGGCAAGAATATGGGAGTGGGTTGCCATGCCCTCCTCCAGGGGATCTTCCCGACCCAGGGATTGAACCCAGGTCTGCTACATTGCGGGCAGATTCTTTACTGTCTGAAGCACCAAAGTACTTGTGTTTAATTCCTAGTAGGATGTTTCTCTTTAATAACATAGTATGATTACACAATCAGGAAATTTATCATCAATATATTACTGTTAATTTCCTCTTTCTCACTCAGAATTTGCCATTTGTTCCTTAAATGTTTTTTAATAGTGTTTTTCTTTTTCCTAGTCCGCAGAGCAGTACAGGCTTGCCAGTTGCATTTGATTGCTTCCTTAATCTCCTCTAACTTGGCAGAGAGCCCCAGATTGCTTTGTCGTGACATTGACATTTCTGAAAAGGACTGGCCAGTTTCAGGCCACTTGGTAGTCTGTCCCTCAGTTTGTGTTTGCCCAGTGTCTCAAAATTAGATT